TCACACTGGTGATCATTTTTATTGAACAGTACTGTCATTTACTTGTTTCTTCTCCCTGTCGTTAATTTTAACCTTTGTTCAGATCTATTTTGACCACACTATACGTTCTTCAGTCTTCCTTGTCTGAGCTTTTATTATGCAATTTTGACCAAGGACTTATCTTTTGTAACCCAATTTTCTATTGCATGTTGCCGGACTACTGACAATAAGGTCGTGTTAGACTAAGCTCAATGTCACGGCGTGGTTCATTGTGTGACTGCTAACCGGCGAGAATCTAATTTACGGACGAGTCAATCAGGGGCGCTTTAGAGATTTCAAGGCTACGTCGTCAGTTCGTGATGAAAACCCCGCATATAATTCCTAAGGCGAATTACGAACTGGATAATAAAAGCACCAGTAACATTGGCTGCAGACAGGTACTACAATATATACGGACGTTTGGAGAGCTCACAGACTGCTACATAGGCTTGGTTATGTGCATCGTGTCGTTATCCACAAGTGGCATTTTGTGCACTCAACAACCAGAGTGCAAATAAACAACATTGAAACTATGTGGTCGAGGCTGAAAGAGTATTTGAGACTTTATCATGACTCCAGAGGCCGACTATTCTGTAGCCGTATGGATGATTTCCTCTACTGCATGCATGGTGATTTTAGAACCTATGAACTTTTTTCTAACCTTGACAAGTTTTTGAACCACATATAAGAAGTGTATCCACTTTATTTCCTTGGTTTTGTATAACATATTTTTACTCTATACTGACTGTTTGCTGATTGGCTAATATTTCTTACGGTCGCTTAATATTCGTTCAAAGGTCGATCATAAATTAGATTCTCGCCGAATATTTTTATTGATTCTCATGTATTGAACTCTCTTGTGCTAACTGTTTCTTTTGTTGGTTAGCACGCTGCTTTGTGTTAGAGAATCTTCTGACTGTATAGCACAGACTGTGCCGTCTGAGGTATTTTGTATTTTTGATATGATTTATCTGATTTCCTGAATTGGGACAGTTTAAGTTGGGCACAGAGTTTGTGTTTTGATTTAATTTAATACGAGTATCTCGAAAACGCTTCGTACACTATACAGAAGAACGTAGTCTGGTCCAGTCTAATAAATTTTGGTTCTTCAGTCCTGCGTTCAAACCGAATATTAGCAGTTCGTTCGTTACAACGACTATAATGGGCTATCGCAGTTTGTTGACAAGCGTTAGCAGCACGTAAATGCTCCAGTATAATTGTCTGTTAAAATATCAACCACTCGTAATACAGCCACAAGGCAACACGAATGCATAACTGTTTGCAATCTATACACTTGTATAATTGAGACAAGATGAACTGTTGATTTTAGATTCATCTTTCCGCCTAATCACTATCAACTATCTTCCGTCAGAAACTATCTACAAGAAATTTTTACTTACTTGACCACTGCCTGCTTAATTTCCAATTGCTGAGTTCCATGGCCAAATAGCGAATCTGAAAGCTAGAAATTTGAGGTAAGTTTGAACTATAAATTTCCTGCAGTCTTAGATCTCATTTAGATTGTTCTTCAGGCAAAGCTACGTATTTGGCTCCAATTAATTTTCTACTTATACAAGTTCAGTCTACAACGCTGTGTTAATTCAAGAATTTATCAATAGTATCTCGCATGTAGTCCAGATTCAAACTAGCGTTTACTTCATATCTTCATTACTTGGAAGCGAGAATAACCCAAGCGAGGTTCACAATTGCTTTAGATTATTTCGGACTGTGTTTATGACGCCTAATAACATTTCGTAGTTTCTTTCACGTAGAGTAGTTATATATTCTGTCACTGCAGTCAAGTTTTGGTCGAAATCACGTAAATTTCAGACTCGTAAGTCGACATACTGCGGTAAAACATATTGCATGTACACGAGCAATCTTAGTCCATGTCCTAACTAGACACTTTGTGGTGTGTAATATGTCGATTAACGCTAGGTTATGAGCTCTTTGTATTAGCCTTTTAGGAAGTGGCCACGTTACCATTTTGTATTTGCTATTATTTGTCACGGTAAATCGTGGCTCGACTCCCGCATTACACGACAGCCATTTTAATTCCATCTTTGGTCTATTTACATGCAATACGCGTTTGGAAAATATCTAAATGAACACTGAAGTTCTCCACGAACCCCATCATTGTCTTCGGATATGTTTTTATTGGCACATCTAACTGTTACGCTAATAGAACATAAACGAACGTTCAGTGCAACTGTCATTATATGTAAGAACGATGTTATTCCAGTTTTAATTTATAACAAATTCGAACTATTGTAGTTATTCAACTTCAATATCGTACTTTATTTTATGAAGTATTGCTTCCTCGTACCTGTTATCTAACAGATGATTTCCGTACAACAATGGGCTGTTCGGCTACTCGACGATTTAAAACCTGTCCAGTTCAATTGGTGGTTTGATGACATTATCATCCGCGCGAATAATCAGTTTACACAGTCGCATGAATCTCCTGCAGGCTGAAAACGGCATTGTCGCTCCTATCTCAGCACTGATAGTGTTTTTCATTGGTATCATTGACATGAGTCCAAAGTGAAACTCTTGGTTTCTCATGTTCTTTTCGATATGTTTCGTTTCACTTATCGAAAAAACAGAGAGCGCTAACCATTTATCGTCTTTTAGAGACTTCATCGTGCCACCTTTGCTGTCGATTTGTAGCTTTCGACCTTTACTGACTGTAAGAGCAGTCAAAGACTGTTCAAACTCTGACTACAAGTTGATTAATAGCTTCGCACAACAAAATCACGATTTCCTTTCAAGGTTATACTTCTATACTTACGGCTAGTCTGCTAAATATGGATGTAACTAGAATTCCAAAATTAAGAATAGAAGCTGTCAACGATACTGTCTGACGTTCAGCTTTAAACCAATGGCAGTATAAACATCGGCTTTGACTGACAAGACACTTATGATACTATCACTAGCATCATTAGTGTTTTTCATCTGAGGACCTCAATCACTTGCCAGATCTGCCTGTTTCAACGCAACTTGATAGAACTTCGAAACGTTATGTTTTTTCTATTATACCTACGGTTAATCGCTTTATATTCAACCAACGTCCTGCTAACATAATACTCGCTGTTTCCCTATCAATTATTGCCGCCTTTTATTCACTTGATTTACAGCTCGGCAATACCCTGAGGATTTATATTAATCGTTTGGAAATCTCCTGTGCGCGATCACTCCCAATATGCATGGTATCGATTCAAACTGCCATTGAATCTGGCGGGGTAGTATTCTAGGGCCAGTAAAGTGTCACTAAGTCCTAGCCAAATTATCCGGCATTTAGGTCACTGGATATCGAACAGATTGTCGATCCCGTTCAAGGTCAACAACAACGAACGCGCATCGATTGATCGTATGTCATGGACTGAAGCACCCAGTGGTGGTCTTGCCATCTCTGTACTCATTCTTAACAATATATCTCCTTAGTAACGTCCTTTGTATTGTACGGTCTTCAAAGCAGACATCGTATGTCAAAGGGGTTATCCATGTTAGATGATGACCGAAAGTGTGACTTCAAAGTAAGCAGGTTCGTCACACTTATCACGGAAAACTCGAGTAGGCCTCTAATCATTCGACATAGTTCATATACGTTAGTGATCTACAAACTCAACGAATTCTAGATAGCTCTCAACAATATTTTCCAAGCCTTACAGGATCTAATCAAAGAAGAAGAAAATACTATGGAGAACAACTGGAAAGGGATCAAAGTAACGCCAACTTCAATGTGTCAGGAAGTGCTGCACCACAACAAGCAGTATCATGAGGAATGGATCTCAATGGAACTCTTGTCTTGGATTCAAGAAAGGAAGAACAAATACAATGCAATTAACAACAGTCGAAGAAGAACGCAGGTCAAGGCACAAGCTGAATAAACAGAAGCAAAAAAACAAGTGAAGAGGAGCATTAGAGTCGACAGGAAGAAATACATGGAACACCTAACAACGACGGTGGAAAAAGCTGTAACACAAGCAAATATCAGAAAACCGTATTGCGCAACCAAGAAACAAGCAGGGAAATAGAGTAAACCAGAGAGACCGATTAAGGACAAACAAGACAAGGCAGGAACAGATGGGTAGAACACGTTGACGAACTCTTGAATAGAACAGCTCCAATGAACACAACGGACATCGAGGCAACACATACACACATTCCTACAACTGTCACTCCACCGACGATCGAAGAAATCAGGATGATCGGTCATCAAACAAATCAACTGTGGGAAAACATCAACAGCGGTAGAAGTAGTCGAACCTGACAATTTACCAACTGAATCATTCAAGTCACACGTCGGAGTAACCACAAACATGTTCCATGTTCCATTCAGGAGGATTTGGGAGGAGGAACAAGTGACGACATACTGATAGACACAGACAGACAGACAGACATACCTGAGAGAAGGACATTTCCCCGGGACACCAAGGAAGGGGGATTTCAGCAAGTGTGAGAACTACACAAGTACCATACCACTATCGGTACCAGAAAAACTTTTCAACAGAATGTTGCTGAATCAGATGAAAGATTCAGTAGAGGACCCTGAAATTGCTTTAGGCATGCATCCACACCAGACCAATAATGAATACAACGTGCCACACATCCTTAACGCCCACTAACGAGCTTGGATTAATCACATCTCATATCAATAGCCTATCAAATATATCTTCGAAGCTCTTCATTTCTGACTTCTGATTTCACTGGGTTAACATGCTTTGATTATAAAAAACGTTGCCGGTTAAAGCTATGTCAAACTCCGAATACCTTCAGCTTCTTTACCACAAAACGCATGCTAGTACTTTGTATCTGTATTTCCTTACGATGCCATGACCTTCGGATGATGGTGAAAATTAACAACATTTAAATGTGCTTGGGGCTGCATCGATGCAACGAACTGTCATACACAGGAATTTCATTTTATTGGGAAATCTAACAATGGATGATAACACCACTAACTACGCAAATTAGGCTGGATGGTCAGCATAGTTGGGGTTGAAATATCTTCGAGTATGTTAAATATGTCTGTAGACAAGCCTTAAAGGTAGGTCGACACTAAAATTACGATCATTATTATGTCGTACCGAGCACACATGCACTCATCCACGTCCCCTGACAGACCTAGGCTTTTTTAGGTATTCGTGGCATTCGTTATCTTCTACAAGTGATCACCAAGGACAAATGAATTATTTAGGATCTGGAACGCGAATGTTCTTGAATGCATATTTCAGTGATTGAGTTCACTAACACATTAAGTAGTATAATTGGGTTGAACAGACACAACTGGAATGAAATAGCAATCGTATTATAAGGACTTCTTGTAGCGGAAGTTAGATCCACTCAATAGGTAGGTCCGTAGGTCTTCGACACTGGTGCTAGCCTCTTTAGCTTTTCTGGACACACCCTGACAAAAATAATTGGTTACGAATTAGTACCAGATAACGAATGGGTACGCGGGGTTACGTCGATGAAAAATTTTAGCCAGACCTGTTAGTAATGCGTTGGATTTATATCGATACCAAGCATCGCCAGCAAATGCATTACAATAGAAACAACAATGGCAATAGAATATCCACAAATTATAAGTCAGTAAAATAACTCCAGAACTGTATTAGAATAATCCAACATGTGTTGTGCTGGAATAAATTCAGACTGTCTAGAACGTCACATAGTCAGCGTGTCTCAAGTATTTATACATCAATATGGAGGTGGAGTATGATTAAGTGATTGACATACAGATAGATAGACATGCATTACAACTATCGAGTATTGGGAGGACTCACACATAAAGTATCCGAAGTAACCACACAGCTGATCACAAGTCAGCCAACGAAATAGATTTGATACATTTAACTGTAAGATGGTCAGTCAGATATCTCATTCCAAAATCAGCACATAATTGTGCCCACCTAACATGTCCATAATTAATACCATGGTATCCTAACCGACATTACCTACCCATAGCTATTATTTTGTATACAGACAAAAAGTTAGAATACCCAGTTACATGATTCGGTCCTGGATTACCTCGAACAAAGATTAAGGGATAAGCTCGCACTTAAGATAGCACAGTGAATTATGGGTCGTCGGACCGTTCATTGCAAATCTCTAACAAACGTTGACAGATATACTATGAGACGATGGTGCCAGGAGGCTCTCCAGGTGATGATTTTTCGTTTAAAAGGATTATGATGAACTAAATAAAATGAAACCAGAAACCATCTATATGAGATACAAGATTCATGACTAAGTTTGGTGACACTAAGTTTGTTTCATGAAATCCTAATCATGCTCATTTCTTAGAGACTTAGCGCTTAAGTAGAGCTTCCGGTGGTAACCTAAAAGTGATGTTTCAGTAATCTAGTTGTTCTCAATGTAATGTGCAACGACGAAACATCCGAATATCCTTATTCACTGTGTGGTTTTCAGCCAAGCAATGTCGCTTATGCGATAACTTTCTCAGTTGCTCATTCATGTATGAATTTCTCTGAAAGCTGTTCTGATTCCTATGAACTCTATTCTTGAACTGAGAGTGACTTAAAATCCTGGGGATGTCAATAACGGAAAGTTTATTAAAGAAATACTACCTGGTGAAAACTCGAGAATCTCGTAGTCCGAAACTAAAAGTAATGGTATAATTAGTTGAATACTTTTAGTAGATCTGGGGCTCCAATGTCTTTGAAGTAGTTTATAGGCTATTACTAACATCTATACACTATGTTTGGGAATATTCGAAAGATACTAAACACACACTCAAGATAGTTATACAACAAGATCCAAGGGTATTCATAATCTTGCTATTAGAGTTTTCGTACTAAGTTCGTTTCTTTTCACTTTTTATTGACATAGTAGAATACTACATCTTTCTGGCTAAAACAAAATAGGATTCGCTAAAATAAATATTACTGTATACGTTCTGGATATAGTGAAACATATTTTGACTAACAGTTTGACATTTGAAACATCAAGATTCTTGTGCCAGTTTCGTCTTGGGCTGTACCTGACTGATGTCCGAAGTGAGACTGTGAACTTTGTAGCCTATGTTAATTTTTCGTCATCACTAGGCCTTATTAAAATGCGAATTTACATGGTATACATTAGTATTTACCGTTTTTAATGGTAGTTTGCCAGAAATAACGCTAGTAGTTTATGAAAGTGTTATAATCAACCATCTTTTGATTAAACGATATGGAAAGAAAGAAGTTCGTAGTCAGTTACTCTGACTTGGTATTAAATGGCATATTATTCGGGACATTTTTAAGTCGACTTAAAAGTGGGATGTCGGGTTGTATAGTTCCGCACTGAGAACTTCCAAACTGCTAAACGGAAATACCAAATAACTTATTCTTTGGTATGTCTCCCAGGGTTTCTGGAGAGGCTTTATAGTTACGGAGCAGTTTAACTCGTTATAGTGTTCGAGATATTTGAAAGTATGGGGGAATAATTATCACTATGAGTGATACGAGAGTAGCACGTCGACTAGTCTCCTCTCAGTGCCTTGTAAAATAGATAAAATTTAAAGCCTTTTTTCAGGAAACATCAGTAGTATTTTCAGTTTCAATTCTAGAAGTGGATTTTATGACATAACCATAACAAGTTTTTCACGCATATCTATGAGCACTCTTCCGTGTTCTGCTCTAGCGATGTTCACGTAAGTGTAGTTTGGTACTTAAATGTCTTAATGGTCCGTAAAATTTGAGCATTTTCAATAGCTTGAGTGTTCAGGTTGCTTATAATCCTAATAAGAAACCGCATGACCGCGTGCTTTATTGACTGCAGAATATGAGTAGAAAGGGACATCTATCGTAACAAATAGGACATTTTTCAAGCCCTTTCTTACGGATCTAAAAGCAATAATGAAATCGCTAAGAAGGTATAAGGTCGATGCTCCATTGTTGTTCATTTTTACAATTTAATATCAACTGATGTTATGAGAGTTGCTGTTGGCACAGTCATTTATTTTACTCACCTTATTGGAGTAGACATCGATGGTAACTTTCATCTCTCTTCAAATCTTAAGTTTGTTCTTATGTAGTACAGTTTTAATGTCGAGATTATAAAGTAGACCATTAGCAAGTAATTAGAAAAAGAGTGGTCTGAATATGAAAACTCGCTGTACTCGGTTCAACATCATAAATTAATACGAAAACAAAACAAGCTCCCACTGCTTGCAGCCTCTTCATTTGGTAATCCAGTTTTTAAGTCACATAGCCACTGATGCTCAATCATTTCGGTTTCCAACAAAGAATTCAATGAGTAACAATGTCGAGTGCCTTGAAGAAATTTAAGTAGTCTATATATACGGAACTTATGCTCCACTGACATTGTTCAGGTGTTCCAGGTCAGGTTCTATCCGCTTACTTATGCCTGTTACTCCCAATGGAGCATAGGCCGCCGACCAGCATTCTCCAATCCACTTTGTCCTGGGCCTTCCTTTCCAGTTCTATCCAATTCTTGTTCATTCTTCTCATGTCTGTATCCATTTCCCGGAGTAATGTGTTCCTTGTTCTTCCTCTTTTCCTTTGGCCTTGAGGATTACATGTAAGGGCTTGTCTTGTGATGCAGTTGGGTGCTTTCCTCAATGTGTGTCCTATCCACTTCCAGCGCTTCTTCCTGATTTCTTCTTCCACTGGGATCTGGTTTGTTCTCTCCCACAGTAGGTTGCTGCTAATAGTGTTCGGCCAACGGATCCGAAGTATTTTGCATAGACAACTGTTAATAAACACCTGTATCTTCTGGATGATGGCTTTCGTAGTTCTCCAGATTTCCGCCCCATACAGTAGAACTGTCTTGACATTTGTATTGAAAATCCTGACCTTGGTGTTGGTTGACAGTTGTTTTGAGTTCCAGATGTTCTTTAGTTGTGAATATTCTGCTCTTGCTTTTCCGATCCGCGCTTTCAAATCTGCATCAGATCCACCATGTTCACCAATGATGCTGCCTAAATATGTAAAGGTTTTTACATCTTCCAAATCTTCTCCGTCAATTGTGGTTGGATTGGTGCATGCTGTGTTGTATCGGAGAATCTTGCTTTTCCCTTTGTGTATATTGAGACCTACTGCTGCTGAGGCTGCTGCTACACTGGTCGTCTTCTCCTGGATTTGTTGTTGCGTGTGCGATAGAAGAACCAGGTCATCTGCGAAGTCTAGATCGTCCAGCTGCATCCTAGATGTCCACTGTATTCCGTGCTTCCCTTCAGATGTTGACGTCTTCATGATCCAGTCGATCACCAGGAGAAAGAAAAAGGGTGAGAGTAAGCAACCTTGCCTGACACCGGTCTTTACCTCGAACGAGTCTGTCAATTGTCCTCCATGCACAATTTTGCAGTTTAATCCGTCATAGGAATTCCGTATGATATTGACTATCTTCTGAGGCACGCCGTAGTATCAAAGAAGCTTCCATAGTGTTGTTCTGTCCACGCTATCAAATGCTTTCTCGTAGTCAATGAAGTTGATGTAGGGCGATGAATTCCATTCAATTGATTGTTCCACAATGATCCGTAGAGTTGCGATTTGGTCTGTACACGATCTATCCTTACGGAATCTTGCCTGTTGGTCACGAAGTTGGGCATCTACGCAGTCCTTCATCCTGTTTAACAATACCCTGTTGAAGACTCTCCCTGGTATTGAGAGAAGAGTGGTGTCCCTGTAGTTATCACAGTTGATGAGATCGCCTTTCTTTGGTATTTTGACCAGAAGTCTTTCTTTCCAGTCTTTTGATACTTTTTCCTCATCCCAAATCTTATTGAAGACAATATGGAGTATCTTTGCAGTTACTGCTACGTCTGCTTTCAGTGCCTCTGCTGGAGTGTTGTCTGGTCCTGCCGCTTTGCCACTCTTCATTTGTTTGACGGCCACACTGATTTCTTCAATTGTTGGTGGGCCAACATTGATTGGGAGGTCAATGGGTGCTGATTCGATATTGGGTGGGTTCAGTGGGGCTGGTCGATTCAAGAGTTCTTTGAAGTGTTCTACCCACCTGTTTTGTTGCTCTTCAATGTTGGTAATTACCTCGCCTTCCTTGCTTTTCACTGGTCGTTCTGCTTTGCGGCGATTTACAAAGAGTTTCTTTGTTATGTCATACAGTTGTCTCATGTTTCCTTCTCTTGCAGCCCTTTCCGCCGTCATTGCTAAATCTTCCACATATTTACGTTTGTCAGTTCTGATGCTCCTCTTCACTTGTTTGTTTACTTCTGTGTATTCAGCTTGTGCCTTGGCTTTTTCTGCTCTTGTTCGACTGGTATTGATTGCTGACTTCTTGATCCCCCTTTCTTGAATCTTGTCCAGTGTATCAACAGTGATCCATTCCTTGCGATGGTGCTCCTTGTGGCCCAGAACCTCATGACATGTTGAAATGATTGCCTCTTTTATCCCCTTTCAGTTGCTCTCCATAGTAGTTCCTTCTCCATTGAGTAGATCATGAAAGGCCTGAAACTTATTGCTGAGGGCTATCTTGAATTTGTTGAGTTTGTCAGTATCCAGAAAAAAAGTTGTATTGAACTTTTGAGATATTGTCTGCATCGTTGTCCAGTAATTCTAGAGTTTCAATTTCATCTTGGTGAACAGCAAATAATGATCTGATGCTATATCAGCTCCTCTCTTGGTTCTCACGTCCTCCACCATCCTCCTGGACTTTTTGTTGATGCAGATATGGTCGATTTGGTTTTGCGTAGTGTGATCCGGTGAAGTCCATGTGGTTTTGTGAATGCGTTTATGTGGGAATATAGTACCGCCTATGACCAGTTTATTGAAGGCACATAGGTTTGCAAATCTCTCACCATTTTCGTTCCTTTCTCCCAGTCCATATCGTCCCATGATGTCTTCATATCCAGTGTTGTCCATTCCAACCTTGGCATTTAAATCTCCCATCAGGATGGTCAGGTCCTTTGTTGGGCACTTCTCGACGATTGGCTACAATTTATCGTAGAATTGATCTTTAGCGTCTTCATTGTAGTCGTTGGTAGGCGCATAGCATTGGATGACGTTCATTGAAATGCCCTATTTCTTTGTTATGAAGGAGGCTTTGATCATCCTTGTTCCATGAGATTCTCATCCTCCTTGTGTATGTGGGGCATTTTCTTCATCATGGCCAGAGTATAACAGAAGCTCCCCTGAAGCTAGTCGTTGTTGTCTGACTTGCGTCCAACGTGTTTCAGTGATCCCAAGCACCTCTAGGTTGTATCTCCTCATTTCTGCAGCAATTTGGAAGGCTCTCCCGGTCTCCCACATTGCACGAGCATTCCATGTACCTAAATAAATGATTGCTCTGGTTTTCAGAAGGGGCATCGGTCTCGTGACTTCCGAAGGAACTCGGCTTTCATCATGAGGCGTCATAACTCTTCTAAATGAAGACCTTCTGACTCCCAGGGCAGAGTTAAAAAGGTTTGAATAATTTTTTCTGGTTAGCGTTTTTTTAGCGAGCTAGTTTTCTACGGGATGGGGTCGCTAACCCTATACCCGACCCTCCTCCTTTATCCGGGCTTGGGACTGGCAGTAGCCCTCGGAGGGACCCCAGTCGGAGTTTCTATCCGGTTGCCAAACCCAAAATATGTGAACAGCTCAAAATCAAATGCCTTTTTCTACTAAGCCGCGGCTCGAACAATTCATCTGTTACTTTCTTTGACTGCCACAACGACGAACAGCAAAAGTGTTAGAAATTGTAAGCTTCCAGCTTGGTACCCCTTTTTTGTGCAAGGCCAGTCACTTTTCTCATCGAAACATAGTTTACGCTTGATAATTATATCCCGGAAGTGAGTTGCAAGAAAGAAGCTAAGTATATCTGTACGTCCCTGTATGATTCAAGATCTAATTACATCTAGGCTTACAGATGTGTATGGGCTCATATGCCTCAGGGTCTCTGTTGTCGTGTCGCCGGATTCCACTACAGAATAAGTTGGGGCAACTGTCAACGGAGATATATATTTGGCTAGGAGTAATCACATTGGAATTCCTTATTGAGTAGCATAGTAGCCTTGTTATGGCTGTTAAATACCGTTAAGAAACCCTAATCCAATATG